AAGTGTTCCCTTCGTGAATCAAGTCTCAGAATTTTTACGTCTTCCAATTCAAGTTTAACTGACTATGCAGCTGAGCTAATGCAACCTGTACCTTTGCTATCTTCAAACGTGCCACAAATGGTTTAACCAATCCTGATGCCAGTTTCTCTGTGTTTTCGTTGCTGGAAACAACCCATTCACATCTAGCCAATAGGAACTGAAGATAAATAACTGAAAACATAACATTCAGCCACTTATTAAAAATCGACATCCAATGTAATTAACTAGACATCCTCATCGTGAGTGTTTTGTTGACAGAAGGAATTCAGCATAATCCAGGGGCACTTCCGATTTCATTTTCACGACATTCAAATCATTCAAGCTTATCTTTGGCTTCCTTTACATACGTTCTTCAATGCAGAACATATAGAATTTTACTTACTCTTGTGAGCAAAAATCTAACCCTACCTACAACCTACATTACGCCGATGAATTTGGTTTCAAGTTATCAACCAAAATAACTTACTAAAAACCAGTAAAAAATTCCAAAAGTGTACATGGAAAGTAAATTTCTGTTGAATAAAATCTCAATTCAACAATGCACCTCAAATGGAACTCTAACAATAGAGCAAATTAATCCAAATTAACATAAAATTGAAATTAATTCAGATCTGGTTTAAAAACATAACTTCAAATGACACCCCCAATATAAGCTCAACCCCAAATAATGTGAATGTGTATTTTAACAATAAACAAAACTACAGAAACAGCAAAATCAACATTCAGTAATTTATGACAAAACTTGAGATGATAGCCAATAAATTGACCTTGGCAATATCAGTGCAATATCTTCAAAACCCAGCCCAATCATCGGATTCAAGTTCAGACCACACACACATTTCAATCCCTTATTCTCTAGCTAATAGTATGAGGGTTTTAGACACCGCAGTGTCAGTGTTTGTACAAGGTTAACTTTCTTCTTAACATTATTCATGGCAAATCAAGAAAGTTACAGAATGGAATCGAAGAGTTAATCTCAATAATTGCCACTAAACATTAGTTTAAATTTTATATTTCAAAAATAAAACAATAGTGACCTTAGGTGTCTATACGATTCCGACTAGCAACTGCGACTGCGACATGGAAGAAGCTGCAGAAAGGGGCTGAAATTTATTGGCTTCTGCATTGAAGAGAGAGTGAGATTGTGAGAATGAGAGTCAAGAGATGTCTAGAGTTGGGTTCGCACCCTAGATTTTGATTTCTCGGACTGACTGGAAGTTCTTATTTCCTGAGTGAGGGAAAAAAAAGAATAAACAGTAAAAAAAATTAATTTTGGGCCCCTTAAAAATATGGGCCTGAGGCGCAGGCCTCTTGGGCCTCCCATCAGGTCCGACCCTGACCCATTTGTACTTCCATTGGATACAGTAGATGCAGTAAAAGAAACACACCAAAATATATCAAGTGAATTTCAAGAAATCAATCTGCAAGAATATTATTATACTAAGGCCCGTTTGATTCCCATTTTTCTCTCTTTTTCTTTTCAACCACATATTCTTCATTAAAATAATATTACACGTAAATTAAATTTTTTTCTTTATTTTGCATCCGCACATTCTCCATCAATTTATTATTCTAAAATTCATTTTTTCCTAAAAATGCTTGTCAAACACCCCCTAAAAGTGTTATGATCATATGTTTGAATTTCTTTTACATTTTCTATAATTTCAAGTTCAGAGTTCGGTTGATATTTTGGAAGGTTTTTAGCAGCTATTTTCAAATGAGAACTCAATTTCATTCGTGCAAAAAAAAAAAAAAGTCCATCGGAAATAGCAATGAGAAATAGCACGCTAGACATGCCTTTTGCCTCGATAGTGTCTCAAACAGTATCTCAAATAGAATATACAGTTATTTCTGATGTGAAATTGGAGAAGACATTTGGTGCAAGCATTTACTTTGAATTTATTTGCACTTTTTTTAAAAAAAAAAATTGGGTCTATGGTCATAACAAGCTATTTATTTTCCTGTCCTTTCATTTTTGTTTTATTTAAATAAAAGGATATATTCATCATTTATAACTTTATATTGTTGAATTGAATGAAAATGATGTTTATGCGTAATTAAAAGTGTAATTGAGTGTGAAAATATCTAAATATGAATGGTATAAACTTTTTCCAAATTAATAGTAAAATATAAGTACATTATGTGCTAATTACTCATATCTTAGGTAATGCTCTAAGAGTTTCCTATATGATGGTGTAAAATTAGTGGTATAAAATTAAGAGTAAATTGATATTTTGAACTTACTTTTGCATCTTTATTTACATTCTGGTAGATCTAAATTGTGTTCAAGCGAAAAGATTTAAAAAATTGGGTGCAAGTCAATTGGTATTTTTTATTTTTGCATTTTTTTACCAAAAAATGTAGTTTGCATTTACTTTACATCTCTTCATTAAAAAGAGTTTCAACCACTTTAAAGATCTAAATTTCAATTTAAATCTAATTCGGGAAGATATATTCAATAGGGACTTTTAAAGACTTCTGGAGATTTAAAAAGTTTCGGTATATTCAAATGGAATTTTTAAAAATTCTCTAAAAGTTTGAGTGTATACAATAGAGATTTTTATAGGCTTTTAAAAAGTCACTACAAGTTATGGGGTATTCAATTGAAACTTTTTAGAAGTCTTTACAAGTTTTGGGGTATTCAATTTAGAGTGACTTTCAAGGAATTTATAATTTCTTGGACTTCTAGAGACTTTTTGGTAAAAAATATAAATAGGATTTTTCCAATAAAATCTCGCATCCATCAAGAGATTTCTCAACATAGCAAGCCTCTTCTTTTTTCCCTCCAGTGTTTTCTCCTCCATCATTTTCAATCAAGTATTTCTTTGAATTTTTGCTATATGACTTTTTCTGTTTACTGTGAATTTATAGATAAACCCCGTAAATCTTTACTATTAGTTTTCTGTTTGCTCTAAGTTTTCTTTGATCTTTGAATCTCCTTCATCTTTGCTAATGCATGGAGGGCTTTGGACCATTTTTTGAGAGTCAAGAACAAGAAATAGAGAACGCTAATGCATAGAGGGTTTCTATAGCAGCTAATATGTGGAATGCAGTTGGGAATGTTTCATATTTTTTTGTTCATCATTACTAAAATACTTTTTTTTTTTTGTTATTTTGATTATTCATTAATCTGCTTGATGTAACTTGAATTTTTTTAGGAGAAAAATTGTACGAAAAATACGATTATTGCTTTGAATTTTCAATTATACGAGTTGTGAATGATTTGGATATATAAGAAGTTGTTTCGTATATTACATTATATATGTTTAATTTTTTTTTTATTTTAAAAAATAAAAGTCTAGTAAAAGTTTACAGAAATTCATAGGAAATTTTTACCAATTCTTACCAAATCCACATAAATCACTCTGTTCACAAAGTCTATGAAAGTCATCCATTTTAAAAAGTCTATAAAAGTTTTAAAAATTTTCAATTGAATACACTCCTTTAAAATACAATATAGTACCCCCCCCCCTCCAGATTTACAAGAAAAACATTCTTGTAATGAGAACCTTCGGGCTTGGATGTTAACGAATTGAGTCGAGATTCGAAACTCGGGATCGATTCGAGTAAAATGGTGCGAAGTTTTTTCGTGTCTAAAGCCAAACTTTGACTCGACCAAAAAATGAAGGCTCGCCGGAGTTGAGCAAGCTCCTTTTTTTTATTAATAATATTTGTTGCCTTTAAAAGGCAGTTCGCTGTTGCCTTTTGTATTATTTTTTATTTTTTATTAATTTTTTAAAATTCAAGGATTGGCTCATCATGGGCCAAAAATGGCGCGTAAGGGCTCGGGTTTTTTGGGGCTAAACCATGGGCCCTCCAATCGACGAGCTAAATTCACATTCTTAAGCCTAGTGTTCAAGTCGTTCTCTTACGCACTGTCCATTTTAAAAGAGCATTTGTTAATCTTACTCTTCAACTATTTTTTTTGCATTGTTCAAAAATCGAATCCAAAATCTCTACCTTACGAGATACATCAGTTAAATCTGATATTAATTGATCTTCCAAATTGAAACAATAATATATGATATAACGATTTGAACACAAAGGTACGAATCGTTCGACATTCAACTTAAATCTTTACTAAAACTGGTTATCTTGTATTCGAATTTTGGAAGACGCAATAAAATTTCTATTTCGTGAGGACAAAACCTGGCCCATATTGCTTGGGCCGGTCCAATGACGCATATAGCCATGACCTATCATTTTCCAAACTTGATCCATTAAGCGGCGGCACAGCGTAGGTGAACATTTTTTCAGATAAGCTTGACTTCCAATAGCCTATCGACTCGTTTCGGACACAGAACCCCTCATCCGAATTCAGTTAATAGAAACATTTCGGGTACGTTAACCAAACCCCACTTCAACAATTCCGTTTATCTCACACAAATAATTGAACGTAACAAAAGTCCCCGTTTCACGCACGTTCCTACTCAGAGCGTGGTCTTTAAAGTCGCACACGATTTAGCCAAAAATATTAGTCATAGAGACATAAAAGTTAAAACTAAAAAAAAAAAAAAAAAAAATCATCAACCTATTGAGAATCACGAAGGGGATGATTCTGCCTTCATGATTCTTCGCGATCAGAATACTAGAAGGCGGGTAGAAAATGACTAGAAAAAGCACAAGCAATTAAAATGTTCAAGAATCCAAACCTTAAGAAAAAGACAAATAAAACAAAACCCATAATGATTTTTACCTACATAATGTATCAGATCTCAGTTTTCTCGATTTAGTTGAAGCCAAAGAAACCAAATTACAACAAATAATAAATTTTATATGCATAATTATCAGAATTAAGACATTTTAATTTGAACAAGCAAAAGAACTAAAGAAGAGAGATTAACTGAAACATAGCAGCCTCAAGGAACCTACGTTGTCGGTGTCGGAGGTGTCGGCTATTTTCCTCAAGCCAGTCTGCTGTAGTGCCACGTGTACCAATTACGATGCTTCTGGAAAATAAATACAGCTTCAACGGTTAAATCCACCTCACAGGATTCTAACACGTTTCAAATCGAAAGGTTTGATTTCTTTATCTTTGGTAAAAAGGAGAATTTAAGTGGAGAATTCTCAGATAAATTTTTTTGCTTGAATTTGTTGTACGTTGTTCTTCGTGTTGTTGTATTTTGGGAGGTGAATTTGTTGTTGAATTGCAGGTAATTAGAATGGCCGAGGCTCAGAGCGGTGAGGTCGTGTCGGTGGAGCTCCCTGCTCCGGCTGCTTGGAAAAAATTGGTACTTTTTATTCTTATTTTTTGTTATATTTTCTTTTGGAAGTACGGATTCTAACACGTTTCAAATCGAAAGGTTTGATTTCTTTATCTTTGGTAAAAAGGAGAATTTAAGTGGAGAATTCTCAGATAATTTTTTTGCTTGAATTTGTTGTACGTTGTTCTTCGTGTTGTTGTATTTTGGGAGGTGAATTTGTTGTTGAATTGCAGGTAATTAGAATGGCCGAGGCTCAGAGCGGTGAGGTCGTGTCGGTGGAGCTCCCTGCTCCTGCTGCTTGGAAAAAATTGGTATTTTTTATTCTTATTTTTTGTTATATTTTCTTTTGGAAGTATTCTTTGTAATTATGGTTATGTGGAAATGTTTTCTAATTTTATGGCTAGGGTTTATGGTGATTAATGGGAACATATTTTTTTATGGACATAAAAATTACAGAATTGTTGAATGTTACAAGTAATTACTAAAGTTTTTAACTATGCATCTACTGTAACTTCTATAACTAGAATGATAATCTTGTCCTAACCGTGGGTTCAATTTACTCCCAATCTGTTCAAGTAATTTGGTAAGGGGGTTTTTCAAATAATAGGAAAACTGACCAAATTTGTGAGTTTTTAAAATTTAAAGGCATGAAGCAACTGCCTTGGTCACTTGAGTGTTGAGTCGTCTCCGATTTTTTTGCCACAAGGGTGTTCAACCACTTAATTAAGTGGGTCTGTCTCTGCATTAAACTTTAAGCATTGTTTGGAAACTTAGTTTCATACTGGAAATCATGTAAATGAACTACATCACATTGTGGACAATGTCTCCAAGTGGTTGACATCTCAACCCAAGATTTAAGGTGACAATATTTGTTGCCTATCCGGTTTTCATACTAATAGTTGAAAGCCCAAGCCGGTTCATTAAGCGCGAGTTTATACAAGGGGGAGATGTTCGAGTAAGATGCTGACGTGCTTGGGAAATACCAGCCTCAGCTACGGAATCCTGGCTGCCTTAAGACCCTGCAACCTGTTATCTTCTTATTATTTTTCTTGTATATTGTTGATTGAAGACTGAAGAGTATAATGGCTTAGATTCCCAGTACAGTGTTATGGATAACATCCAATCTGATCAGATTAAGTAAATTACATGTAGGTTTTTCAACTATTGCGTACCAATCAACTCTCTTGAATCTTTAGTAATGCAGTTGCCGGTTATGGAATTAATATCCTTGGAAGATCCTTGTTTTTGTGAGTTTAACCTTCTTCGGGTTTATAAAGCCATTGAAGTTAGATGTGTAATTATTGCTGGTCTAGGTCATAGAGTGCTTAGAGTTGACAATTGCACCGGGAATCACATTCTGACATCCTAGACTATTTTCCAACCAACAGAATTGTCCTTTTATTTTCTGAAAGTATTCTTATAATAATGGAGGGACCTAGACTTAACCTCGGAAAAGTAAACAAATGTAGTGAAAATGACCTCCGCAACGCTCTGTGGACCTGTGAGGGATCTATTAGAGTCAATGAAGAATCCTTAAGTTTCTAAACGTGGATTGGCTTAGTGGTTTGAGGCTTGTGCAGTTAGTCAGTGTAGATAATATCAATGAAACGAGAATTTTCATATACGAGTTGATATTGCATATAAATTTATTGAATAGAAAGAGGTTAGATTAATCAAATCTAATCCTACAAGTTATCTTTAAGTATGTAAAAGACAAGTCACATGAGTGCCTTTGAGACATTTTAATGCATTTCTGTGATTTCTCATGTGCAAGAATGCCCCAATTTTTTATTGTTATCAGTATTTTTTTCCATCCTTAACATATTTTGACACTGTTAATGATAATTTTTTTGTAGTACATGCCAACAAAGGGAACACCAAGGAAGAATGAAATTTCATTTATTGCTCCTACTGGCGAGGAAATTATTAACCGAAAACAGCTGGAGAAGTACTTAAAGTCTCACCCTGGAAACCCTGAAATATCACTATTTGATTGGAGCACTGGTGAGACTCCAAGAAGATCATCAAGGATCAGTGAGAAGGCCAAGGCCACACCTCCATCTAAAGAGAGTGAGTGGCCAAACAAGCGGAGGAGGAAAGCATCAGGTAGTAAGAAAGACAAGGAGATTAACACTGGAAATGAGGAATCAGAATGGAAGAAAGAGGCTAAAACACAAGATGAAGAAGTCGGTGAGAACAAAGAACAAGAGAAACAAACTGATAATCTGATGGATTCTGAGCCAAACAGGGAAGATGAAAAGCAGGAAGATCCTCTGACTGAATTGGATGAGAAAGGGACCAAGGAAAATCCTGGGACAGATGTTGAGCTGCACGGTGATAACCAAGGGAAGAGTGTCAATGTTGAGATATGTGGAAATGATAAGGATGAAACTACTGACAAAAGTAACAGGGTTGAAGTCATTTCAAAGGTGGAAGAATTGTTATCTGGAGTGGAAGAGAAGCCATATTCTGGTTCTGCAGAGCTTGGTGTGGATGAGGAGAAACAGTTTAAGGAATGTAGTGTTCCCATGGAAGCTGCTGTGGATGGAGCTAAAAATGAGATTCTTTCTGGTGCAGCCCCTACATCTGCTGCACAAACTAATGGATTCCAGGATATTATTGGGAAAACTAATTTGCAGGTGGAGGATCAAGAGAAGATTATGAATGGAGACAACATGGAAAATGGAAAGATGAACCTAATGGGGGCAACATTTACCTCAGATCAGCCTTCACCGGCTGCTACTAGTTGAATGTAATTTTAATGGCTATCTTCTGTAGATCTCCACATAATTCTGACATTTGCCTTGTTGCGATGACTGTAATATTAAATGATGACTAGGCTAGTCTTATTTTGAGGTAGGCAATCAACCTTGCTGGATTGTATGACATTGTAGTTTTTGTATTTTCTGTGGGGAAATTTAGATTGTTATTGTAAACAGATAAGGTTACGATGTCCCGTGTTTCCCTACAAGTTTGGTAAAGAATGTAGCTATTTGGTTAAGATTATATGTGCTTTGTTTGGTTATGCTCTGAGTTTGTTCGTTCGTTCTTAGGAAAATGTGCTCATATCTCTGTTCATTACTTTTCTTGAATAACTAGGAGGCAACATTGCAAGGACTCAATAAGTCAGTTTCAAAAACTTAGATTTCCTTATATTTAATGTTGCACTTCCATTGGCCATCTATGTAATTAATTTTCACATTCATAATTTAGTAATTAGTATTGAAATATATTATCTAATTCTCCCTACTAAGCATGGCAAAAAGGGTCCAAAAAAAGAGGCGGTGGGGTTGGATCAGATATTTGTATGGTGAGAGGCCGTTGATAGTGAGGTCCAGATTTTTTTTTTCCTTTTTGATTTCACACCAGGTACATGCAAATTATATTCTTTTGTTTGTTTTTATTGGTAAGAGATATTTTTAAATGCATTTGTTTGGCTTTGTCAAGAGATATTTTTTTTATTCTGTGGTTGTATTTATATTTCTCCCTGCAATGTTATCCTTCATTATCTGAACCTTACTCTCAAACCACCTCAACCTTACTGCCTGCAATATGGCTGCTGCTGCTGCTGCAGCTTCAACTGCTTCTTTTACTTCTTCGAAGCAAATTGTATCGACTCCAAGTAACACTACTAGTACCTCACTTTCAACACATGGTATGTTTTACATTCTTTTGCTTCTTCATAGTCATGAGACTGTGGTCTTTTAGCTTTGTTTTCATCTTGGAAATAATTCATGGTCGACGAATACGAAATATTGCTTTTTCTGATTGTTCCTGGATCAAGGTTTTCATGGATATATCATTTTTTGTTGTTTATCTACACTGAATTGAGAAGTTTCATATCTGAATATAGAAATCGTTTTAATCCTCGAGAGGTGAATAAGTTAACAAAATTTTGGATGTGTTTCTTCTTGTTCTTGAATTTATGCATTGCATACATATTAAATTGTTTGAAAGGCAATAGACACATAGAGGAGGAGGAGCGTTATTATAAAGCTTGATCAAAGAAGGGATAGTCTGAAGAAGTCCATGTACAGATGCTGTTCGTATTCATTGGCAAAACTCCTCACAATCAAGTGTCTACGCAACCCATTTCAGAAAATTGTACACAAATTAGGTGTTTGAAAAATGAAACCACTTGTACATGAGAGGTTGTGTTGAAGATGAAATTTAAATATATGAATTTTTCCAAGGGCTTCTGCTTATATGTCTGGTGTTCTATTGCAGCTACTACTTTGATGGGTGCATCTCTGCGGAGATTTCATTCAACTAAGCGAAAATTTGTTAAGGCTAGAGGAAAGGTAATTGCCGCCGCTGCTGCTCCAGTTGCAATAGCTCCAGTTGAGGAAGTTAAAGAGTGAGTTCTTAACTCGTCTCTATCTGGAGTTCACTAAGAATTATTTCTACACTGAATTAATTTACAATTTATAATATACGAAGCTTGATTAGAGAATCCCTTGATCACTGTTTCCAGATATGTACTTCCGACATGGGCTGAATTCGACCTTGGAAGAGCTCCAGTCTACTGGAAAACTATGAATGGTCTTCCTCCTTCTTCAGTATGTGTAATATCAACAACAGCATTAATGAATTTGAACATTCATTTCTTTTATTGAACTTTGCATCTGATTATGACGAAGAATTTCAGGGAGAAAGGCTGAAGCTATTTTATAATCCAGCTGCTGGCAAACTCGTTCCTAATGAAGATTACGGAATTGCTTTTAATGGTAAGCTTTCACATGCTTCTATTCAGAACTTTATGTACTGCCCTTCATTTAGATTAGGGTTGGAGTTGCCTTGAATATTCATCAAGTACTGTCTTAAGATGAAAGTTCAATTCATCGATTTGCAGGAGGTTTCAACCAGCCCATCATGTGTGGTGGTGAGCCGAGGGCGATGCTGAATAAAGTTCGAGGGAAAGCTGATCCTGCTATTTACACAATCCAAATTTGTATCCCCAAACATGGTACCCTCATAACCAAATTTTTACATCCTTTTTACTCGATATAAAGTTGTTTCGGTAGCTATGACATTTTTCTATTTGGCAGCTGTAAGTTTGATATTCTCATTCACAAATGGAACTGATTGGGATGGTCCATATAGACTGCAATTTCAAGTTCCAAGAGCTTGGCGTAATAAACCAATAGATTTCTTCGCCGAGGTAGGTAACAAAATGTTTTATGTTCTTAAGTTTCGGGCATTTCTCCAATAGAAAGCTTTACTTTATCTTTGGTTTCAGGGGCTTGCACAGGAGTTGAGTAAAGAAGGTGCATGCGAAAGAGCAATTTTCCCGGACACTAGTATCATCGCTACAAGATGTGCCATGATTGGTAACTTATCGGTCGAAGGAGTAAGTGAATTCGATATTTAAACTTTTATCATTTAAGAAGATAAACCATTATATCTAATGTAATTCTCATGCGAATGCAGGGTGACCGCTGCAATCTTGATCTTGTACCTGGATGCACCGATCCTAGCTCACCCATGTATGATCCTCTAGCCAATGTGGATGATGGCTCTTGCCCTTATTCTGATTTGGAGGATTAAAATCGCGGTTCGTTGCTCGTCTTTGCATCGGTATCGTGTTTTATAATGTGTCGATGGCCTTGTATGTCTTTTATAGATACTATCAAACAAGGCTGCAAGTAATCTTATAGATTAAATGGTGAATCCAATCCTGTACAGTACAGAACATTCTTGCAGTTTAATATTCAAAAAAATGATGATTATAATCTATAATGACTTTATTTACAGATGACTTTAAACTTGCACGTTACAAAAAACTTGACCATTGACCCGGTCCAAAAAGTACTGCCACCCATCTGTTAAATTAACATTTATCAGAGTTCTTATCC